CTATTACTGCTGCTATAAATAAGATGCCATTTTCCAAAACACCGAGCTTTTCTAACTTAAGAAACACCACGCTACCCCTCTCCTACTGTGTTTCCATCGTCCTCCAATTTGTCATCCTGCTGGAGTGGAACTGCCAATTCCATCTCAGTCGACGGCTATAAAAAGAACTTTGGAGCTGGTGGTGCCGATGACCCAACAGGGGGGCTAAGATTAGCCCAGGAGGCTGTCCACCTTTCCTTAATGTGAGAACCAGCTGGGGTTCCCCTTCCTTGGAAAACTTCAACTGTTCCACTCCGCCCCACCTCGCAGCGGCCCTGCTGGCCAAACTGTCCATGGAGATGGGAACGGGGCTGCGTTTTGGAAAAAAGAAGTTGAGCAACAGGGATTCCCCCTGCAGAAGGCAGTCCTGGGCTGGGAGGCAAGTTCTTGGGGTCAAAAGAGCAGGGCTGGCTCCCTGCAAACACAAGACAACTCCCCACTCTGTCTGTCAGAGCCACCCGGAGCCAGACGTCCCACGAGAGAAGCCCACCACTTCTCTGAGGGCCCAGGGACACCTCAGACACCCTGGCTTGTCTGTTGGCATCGATCCAGGGACCGTATTCACCCCAGGTTCTCATACATTAGGCATGCCACGGTCCTAAATGGACCTACCTGGCCTCGGTGACTTGCTGCAGAATTCAAGAGTCCAGCTCACCACAAAATGGTTCAAGTCAGTGGCTCAGAGCAGCTAAAGGATCTTCAGACAAATTAACCTGGTTCTGAACTTCTTCAAAGTAGAAAAGCTAAAGGATTAAGGATACGGATTGTAGAGCCAGGCTTCCTCGGGGCCAAGCCAGCACTGCCATTTACCAACTGCGGGATCTTCGATAAGTTACTTAACCTCTCTGCGTTCAGTTTCTCATCAGAAAATAGCTATCTTGTAGGGCTGCCACGAGGAATCAGATTGTTACTACATATAAAGTGCTTAGAACAAGGCCTGGCACATAGTTCATTATTACTTATTCTTGTTTTTCAATGTCTCTTGGTTCCATGAGATAAAATCGTACCCATCCTTGTCCTTCCACAGCCAAGATATGATGATGATGATGAGAATAATAATAAAAGCTGACATTTAATGAGCATCTGTAAGGTGCTAAGCTCTATGCAAAGAGCCTAAACTGTATCATCTCATTTAATCTTGTCTCTCAAGTGAAGTAAATCATCTGTATTTTACAAAAGAGGAAATATTGGCTCAGAGAGGTGACATGACTTACCCAGGATGACAAAGCTACCAAACACAGATCATGGGTTCAAACCCAGGCCGTCTGACCTCAGAGCTATGCTGGTAACCAGTGCAGCTTACAGCCTCCCAAAGTCTGCCTGCCAGGCCCGCACTGGGGCAGTGTGTGTCCAATAAACGATGTCTATGGCCTAAGCAATGAGAATACTGGAGAAACCGTAAAAATAACAACGAACACTCCCCAAGCACGCCCGACGTGCTGAGTGCCCGCTGCTTGCTTATGCGTTTAACTCTGGGAGGGCAAGACCGTCATTCACTCGCTCACTGGAATCTGAGGTCCAGGGAAACTGAACAACAGAACGACGCTGTATAATCTGCAGGTGGGTCCGCTAACTTCTCCAGGCTTAGCCACCTGCCTCCCGCAGGTGTCCGGTTCGATGAGACAAGATGCGGAACGCAGCAGGCAAAAGGCCCGCCCACAGACAGGCTTCAATCAGAGAAAACTATTATCATTCCTCTTCTTATTAACATGCAATTTTTCAAAGTTGAAACAGACTCTGGGTTTTCCTCCCTTCAAGAGGTAAACTGAAATTTCTTCTGAAACCAAGAGAAGGAAAGCTAGAGAGTAAATGCCTTCCATCCAGCCAGCCAGCCAGCAAATACCTACTGGAGGCCCTTGAGTAGACCTCACAAGCTCTCTAGACAGTTTAAAGCTGTCTGGCTCCTAATTCCACAAGGAACTTGGTAGCACCTGGCCTCCAGGCCATCCCTGCACACTTCCAGCAGCCCCTCAAAGAGACTGCCAACCTGGACACAGAGAACAAGATGTCTGTATATTACTAGCATTTCCCCTCTGCCGATAAGGTGCCTTGAAGCCACACACTTCTTGTGAAAGTCAGCAGACGGCCAGCAGGATGATTTCCTGGTCCTGGAGATCCATCAGGTAATGTTTACTTGGCCATTTACATTTCATGCCACTCTCCTGCTCAAGAACCCACCATGACTCCCTATTACCTTACTCACGTGCAGACTAAACCAAAGCCATGTCTCTACCTGGCATCAGGAGACCTCTCTGCTCTGGGCTTCGCCTGCTCATCAAAGCACGTCCTGGCGATAACCAGCCTCTACTCCAGCCACACAGGTTTGCTCTCTGTCTCATGAGAGCCTAGTACCTTCTTGCCACGAGACTGCTGTTCCACCGCCTGACAAAGTCTCCTCCAAAATGTATCAAGACACTTAAAAGTGTGCATGCCCCTTGAACGCACTACACCACATGGAGGCCTCAACCCTAGGAAATAACAGTAACAAACAGCGTTAGCTAATACATATCAAGCACTTGGCCCTCCGAATCCACAGGTTCCACATCCATGGATTCAACCAACCACAGATAAAAATATCCCCCCCAAAAATTCCAGAAAGTTCCAAAAAGCAAAACTCGAATTTGCCATTCACTGGCAACTATTTACATAGCATTTACCTGGTATTAGGTCTTATAAGTAATCTAGAGTGATTTAAAGTATATGAGAGGATGTGCATAGGTTCTATGCAAATACTACACCACTCTATACAAAGGACTTGAGCATTTGCAGAGTTTGGTATCCACGGGGATCCTGGCACCAATCTCTTGCAGATACTGAGGGACAACTGTACCAAGCATTTATGAACTCTTAATCGTAGGACCACCCTATGAGGTAGAACTGCCACCATTCTCTTTATACAGAGAAGGAAACTGTTGCCCAGAGAGGTTAAGTAACTTGCCCAAGGTCCCTCAGCTAGAAAGCAGTAGACCCGGGCTTCGAACACAAGCAGACTGGCTGGAGAACATGAGTCCTTACCTAGCTGACCAAAGGAATATCGAGGATGTTCATCACTGAGTTACTTACAATAGCACAGAGTTGGAAGCAGCCTAACATCCAATAAAGGGAGAATGGTTAAATAAAGTACTGGACAACCATATGACAGATGCAATGCACCCACTTACACATCTGCGTTCCTCTCCCCTCACGGCGCCACCACAGCCCCTCAAACCCGCAGGGACTGACCACATGCCTTCTGAACCACTCAAACCCACCTGTCCGTCTCCCCACTGCCACAGCCTGACTTGATGCCCATTTTTTGTGGGGTTTTTTTGGCAACGGCTTCGTCAAACTTCTTTAAAACCACCTGCCTTCTATCACGCTTCCAAAGTGTAAGGAAGCAGTTGTCACACCCTAGTCACAGGGCCAGCCCATCTCACGAGGAGGCTTTGTGTGAATTGGGAAGAAGCACCCCTTCTCTAAGACATTCCGCTTCCTCCCATCAGAAGTTTAGTAACACACAGCTCCAGGATGTATCCAGTTTGAATAGCAGCCCCCAGAGGAGGTACCCTCATGCAGCGCAGAATCCCCACAAGTGGACAACCTGCCTGTGACAGTCTGTGGATCCTCCTCAGGGCAGTAAACAAACAGACAAACACCCCTTTGAATTAACTGGAAATCATGTCATAGGAAGAAAGAAAAAAAAAAAAGCTTGGCCTAGCATCGATAACTATCAAATAAATTATATAACCTGATATTTTTCCTACTTTTGATCACTGTCTTTCTACCATGTCCTCATTGGTAATCACATTAACAGACAGTCCATATAAGAAAGAATACACAGGTCCAATAAACAGAAACATTAAACCTCTCATAGCAAAGGAGTGCCAAGTCAAAACAGTACCAGTTCAGCAAATATTTTTTTAAATTAAAAAACACGGCACTTCTGGGATGGGGTGAAACCATCACTGACACAGTATTGGTGGAAGTTTCCCATTTGTATGTTTCTGGAAGGTAATTTGAATTCTAGAAGCAATATGTATTTCAAGCTCTCGAAATGATTATCCAAAATTGTACTCTGGAATAAACCCTAAATAAACAAAAAAGATACACATGGAGATTCATGTATAAGAAGATTAATTAATCCTCCAAGTATAACAAGATGAACTGCAGTACTATTTATAATAAAAATACAAGCAGCCAGTATTTGTTGACTAACAATATACCTGGTGCCATTATAATCACCTGACATGTATTAACTCATTTAATCCTCGCGACAACCCTATGGGGTGATAACTCTTGCTATTATCATTCTATACATAAAGAAATGGAGGCACAGAAAGGTCAGGTGATTTGCCTAAGATCACAGAGCAAGCAAGTAGCAAAGGCAGGATCTGAACCCAGGATACCCAGGGCCAGAGCATGCATGATTAATCATTGTGTTGCTAGCCCTCCCTTCTTGATAACAGTAAAAAACTTAAAAGAATGTGTCTCCTGATGTGAAAATATAATTTTTTTAAAAAACGTTAGGGGTGGGGGGCTTCCCTGGTGGCTCAGTGGTTGAGAGTCCGCCTGCCGATGCAGGGGACGCGGGTTCGTGCCCCAGTCCGGGAAGATCCCACATGCCACGGAGCAGCTGGGCCCGTGAGCCATGGCCACTGAGCCTGCGCGTCCGGAGCCTGTGCTCCGCAACGGGAGAGGCCACAACAGTGAGAGGCCCACGTACCGCAAAAAAAAAAAAAAAAAGTTAAGGGTGGGCAAAACTTTATCATCCAACAAAACAAGCAAGGATGAGTTAAAATACATTATAACACGCTCATGCAATGGTGAACCGTGTCGATATCAAGATCACTGGAGACAAGGGAAATTTCTCATGGTAAGGAGAGCAGGACAGGAAACTACACAATGGGATCTATCCCCCAAATCAATGTCACTGGAAAGAAAAAGATGGTCAATTTTGTATGGCACTCAGAAGGCCCCCTGACCTGTGGTCTTCTCGGTAAACACGACTTTGGACTCGGCCGTGAAGTTCTGTCCCGTGAGGATCATCTGCTGGCCCCCGTAGACCAGGCAGCTGTCGATGTCTTGTCTTTCCACCATGGGCAGCTCATGGGCGGATCGCTGGGCTGCGGGCGGGAGAAAAAGAAGACAGTGTGATGACAGGAGACGCCCATGCAGAATCGTCCAGTGATTTCACAGGAACGGGACACAATGCACTCTGCCCACCTTGGTCACTTGTTGTCATTGCAAACATGGAAGCCTCACCCCTGGCAACCAGTGACTATGCAAATGTTATGCTCTTGTCAAAATGCCCCAAGTAATTTCGGCTAATTTTCTCCTAACAACACTTTTCATTTTCGTGAATCGAGAGACAGATGCCTGTTCTCCTTTGAGGGAGGAAAGGAGAGTAAGAATTTGATTTTTTTTTTTTTTAATAAAAGGATGGGCAAATCAACTTTTTTGTAAGAGATTTCCTTTGCTAGAACGTACTCTCTTCTCCTGCACTTGATGTCAGCAACACACGAAGGGCTCACGGATGTAAACTTCAGGACCTGATTCCTAAAGGTTCAGATGCCTTGGCCTTGGAATTCGTTTGCCATCCTGAACATGATTTGCCCCCATCACTTCTCTGACCACACTTCCTAGAACTCCCCCTTGCTCACTCTGCTCCAGTCACACTTCTAGAATGTTCTCACCATCTCTCAAACATACATCGCATGCTCCTATCTTTCAATGTCTGCCCCTTCAAGTCTTTCTCTCTGGAAGGTTCTTCCCTGATTACCCGCATGGCTACCTTCCTTACTTCTTGCAGGTTTCTCCTCAGATGTCACCTCCTCAGGGCAGCTTCCTTACCCCTACCCTTCCATTCTCCCCCTCAGATTAAAACAGCAGTACCCATCCTCTCTCCATCTGTCTGGCTGTGTCTCTCCCTCTTTCCCCTTTATCCTGCTTAATCATTTCCAAAGAACTTTCCACTTTCAGACGCACTACATGTAGCTTTATTGGTTAATCTGTCTTTCGTCTCTTCCCCACGAGAACGTGAGCCCAGGAGGGAGGAGCGTCGCTTTGGGCATGCTGTGAGCCCAGGGCTGGGGACAGTTCCTAGGACTTAGCAGGGGATGCCTGAGATGGATGGATGCAAGTACTGATAGATGGAAGGAAGGGAGGAAAGAAAGAGAGAGAGAGGGAGGGAGGGAGGAAGGGTTGATGGATGGATGGATGGAGATATGTATGGATACAGATGTGTCTCAATATATCTTGACACACATATACATATCGATATCTCTACACATCTGCACCTACATCTTCATCTGTATCTACAATGAGGAATGGCACAGGCTGAGTGTTTAACCACAATGACATATTTGAATGCTCACAGTAACCTTCTAAGAAAAGAAGTACTAAAATTATTCACCTTTGGGGAGCAAACGAAAGCCTAGGAGAAGTCAGATGGGGTGACGCTTAGATCTGACCCCTCCAGAACTGGTTTGTCCAGCTCCAGAACCCCATCTCCTAGCCCCTCCAGCCAACCAATTCTTCTGAAGGTGGGCTGCAGGAAAGAATGAAGACCCTCTCCAGATGCCTTTCCTGGGCAGGGTGAGAAATGGGTCCCATCCAGCATGAGGGACCATCTCCTCGGCCTCGCCTTGGCAGCGTGGGCCGAAGAGGCCGGCCCTCCCTGGGTGAGTCAGCCTGAGCTCCTGGCGTTCCTCCCAGAGCCCAAGAACTGGGCAGAGGGCCAGCCCTTTCCGTGCCAGGGGCCTGCGGACCTCCCCATCTGGGAGCCGGGGACGCAGCCACGTGAGGCCCGAGGCTCAGACCCAACCCTGTCCTCCTGGCTGGCCTGGGCCTCCAGGTCCAGCACCCCCCTCCCTTCGGCCCCAGAGCCACGTTGAAATCAGTCCCTTCAGGAGCAGACACACACTTGGTGACATTTAAGGAGTCTGCTGCGGACCAGACGCTCCCAGACACTTTACACTGAAAACGCAGCCGGATGACTCTCAGTGATGGCCCTGCCGGTATCTTCCCATCCCAGGCTCGGCCCAGGCTCTCTGTTCCCAGGGGCCCACCAGCCAGCGCCGTGCTAAGGGGCTGCCAGTTAAGAGTACGTATTAAAAAGGCCTCTCTGCAGAAGCTGCTAATTTCTCCCACATGGGCCAGGTTATTAAGCCTTTCTTTCAACAGAGGAGTTCTGTATGACTTCCTAATTGAGCTGCCACCAATGGGGATTTACTAGCAGTGAAAGCAGCAGCCACACCGCCTAGAAGAGCAGGTCCCAGCTTTTAAGATCTGCCTTTGATGCATTCAGGGGGCCAGTGGGGGCTTTTGGTCCCAGGGATGGGTGGGGAGGCGGCAAGAGCCATCCTTCCCATTTTGCAGGTGGAAAGCCTGAGTCATGGCTCCTGGGCAAGCCGGCCAAGGGCTCCCAAGCCAGCGAGGCCGGGGCCTGGACGTGGCCATGAGCTCTCAGCAGTGGGCGGGAGGCTGGACCAGACGGCTGCTCTGTGAATCACTGTGCATTGCTGTGAACACAACTCTGCTATTTCCTGAAGCAAACTCATTGCTTCTCCCTCCACAGCCTCACAGTTTCAAGCAACTAACTGATTCTCCCTTTGCCAAGTCTGCATTTCCTGCTCCTTCCCCTTACTGAAGGAAAACTATCTTTTCTAATGAAAATTTAAAGAGTCCAGTCCGGCTTCCTGTGAGCTCTTATCTGGACTCCAGTCTTGCAACTCCAAGTGTGGGCCGAGCACATCAGCATCAAGGGAAGGGGGGGGCGGTATTATTAGAGGTGCAGAACCTCGTGCCCCACCCCAGACCTACTGAACCCACATCTGCAGCTTAACAAGGAATCCAGGTGATTCTTATGAGCTATCAAGTCTGAGAAGACCTGCTTAGTGCTGGCTACACATTAGAATCAGCTGGGGAGTTGAACCAATAATGACCCCCTGGCCCTAATTCTACCATTTTACAGACAGAAAGACAGACGCTCAGAACTCGCTTCACGGAGAGGCAGCTCCTGGCTGGGTGAGGCTGTCGTGTTGGAGGGTCCTCAGTTCTAGCGCAAGTCCCCACCAGGTGATCCTTGCACAGGGCTTCCCAGCTCTAAACCTCACTTTTCCCATCTGAAAAATGGGGCTGTTAGCAGACCCATCTCACAGGCTGTTGTGAGGGTTAAATGGGAGAATTCACAGAAAGTGTACTTGGCTCAGTAAACACCGGCCAGTATGGCGAACGGGAAGAGCTGGAGCTCCCTGAGCAGCTGCCCTGTGCTCAGCGCCGGGAACCACTGTTGTCTTAGCTATTTCACCAAGTAAGTACGGACCGTGTCCACGTGGTTACACACAGCACTGCTCTCTTCACTGCTGTTCTTGGTGGATCCCGACCCAAAACCCAGGTTTCTTGGCCCTGAATCCCAGCATTTTTCAAAGGGAGCTTCCCGGGTCACCTGCAGCCTAATCACCTGGTTGGGGGGGGGTGCTTAATAAAAATGCAGCTTCCCCAGGCCACACCCCCCCCCCCCCCCCCCCCAGAATCTCCTAGAGGAGCCTGGACATTTGCATTTAAACAATCTTTCCAGGCGACTTGTTACACACATTCTGTTTGACAGCCAGGTCTCACACTTAAGACGCCACCTGAGGACGAGAAGACCTCCTCCAGGGGAGGCCCCCCCCGCATCCTCAGAGAGCCCAGAGGCAAAGCAAATGAATCCAATTAGCCCCTGAAAGAGGAACTGAAGACAGGCAGACAGCAACCAAAACCACCCTCCTGGGGTCCACTTCCTTCTCCCTCTCTGACGCAGCCTCCAACACCTAGGGCTACCAATTGGGGTGACACGGTCCAGGACCTATGGGAGGGCTCTCTGCAAGCCCACTGGGCCCCCCAGGCCTGAACCACCACCCACAGCCGTCCCCACCGAGTCCCATTCGGCTCTTCGACCACTGGAGATTCCAGACCGTCCAAACCCCAAACCCGGCAGTGTTCTAACCAAACAGGGGGCCACCAGCTTAAAGCCAAGCCCACGGCCCAGGTCTCACCTGTGGGTGGAGGCTAGACCCTCAGCTCTGGCTTAAGCGTCAAGGTGGCCCTCGAAGCCAGGAGACTACCTCAGGCTTCCCTCCTGCCCCTGGATTCTCGCGCGTCATAAAGTGGCTTGGGGCTCCTGTGTTTTATGAGCTCTGAATCAACAGGGCGCTGTTGGTTTAGCCAGTTTGGGTGTTTACTTTCACTAGCAACAGCGGCTGATTGGGAGCAGAGCCGGCGGTAAAGGCTCAGAGAGGGAAATACACACCAGGCGGGGGTCCTCCAGGTCAGCCTGGACAGGGGGCTGCCTGGCCAAGAATGATGGTCTACCCAAGAACCCCAGGAGAGAGGCGGGAGAAGCTGGTCAGGGAAATTTGGTTGTGCAGAGTGGGTAGGTTCTGCTAACAGTGAATAATTACAGCTGCCATAGAGAGTGCCTTGGATTCCAGCACTTTTTATATATGTTTTTGTTTATATTATAAAGCACACACATGAAGAAGCAATTGACGGTCATGGGTCAAAGTAAGGATGCTGCCACGTGAGAGCCTGAGTTCGAAGCCCAGCTCGGTGACATCCAAGCTTTGGGACCTTGGGCAAGTCATTTAATCTCTCTGTGCCTCTGTTTTCTCATCTATAAAATGGGACTCATCATAGGGCCAACCTCAGAGAGCGGTTTGCAGATTAAATGAGCTAACGCACAGGAAGTGTGTGGCGCCTCATCGGGGCTCAATGAATGTCTGTTATGTTTATTTTTATTGCTAAACTTCATGAGACCACAAGCAGGAATGATTCCCATTTTGGAGGTGAGGGCGCTGAGTCTCCCCAAGGAGAAGTCACATGCCTGAGAGCTCACAGCTACGTAAGGCGGACAGACTGTGGGATTCCCCTACCCAGAGGGACCTCTTTTTAGTAAAATGGAGAAGGACCCACTGGGAAAGCCGCCAGCCAGCCCGGACCAGGAGGAGGGCCCCCTTCGGTCTCACTCTGGCCCAAGCTCTGACCACCCCTCATCCCAGCTGCTGTAAACGCTTCCTGTCTGTACATCAGGCCCTGTCCTTGGCTGTGAGCCTGGCCCGGCTGAGCCGGGCCTGGCCCAGAACAT